CTAAACGTGAATGTTGGGCATCTTAGGTCTCCACCATTACGTCCGAAACTCTTCTGCCGCAAATCTGGAAGCGTATCCACAAGATAGTTTGTAAGTTCGTTCCCGATGTCTCGCCGGTCCTTCACCTCCGTGATACTCTTCTGGCTGACCCGTTGCAGGTCGCTACCAAACTGGGTTCCCACTTTTCTTCTGTTAGCTCTGGTTTTCATCTTCCCCAATCTTTCCTTCTTCGTAAACCTGTCCTTAAATCTCGTCCTTTGGATTTCTGTACTCAACTTCGACTTCATGAGATGCTTCCCCATGTCCTGTGTACGTCTCAGTATTTACCGAGTCTGTATAATCGGATCCTGGAGTCATCATCATTCCCTGAGGACTGGCGCAATGCCGTTGTCCTCCCTGTTTGCAAACCAGGGTCTCTGGGAACATCCCCTAAGGACTTTTGCCCTATTGCCCTCAAGTTGTCTGCAAACTCTCTGAACGTATGGTTAATGTTCGTCTGATGTGGTTCTTAGAACACCATCACCACCTCTCCCCTTCTCAATTTGGTTTTCACAAGTGCCGCAGCACAACAGATTTCCTGGTGAACTTGGAGGTCTATATTCGTACAGCTTTTGCTGCAAAGAACTTTCGTTGTTGCCGTCCTTTTTTACCTGGAAAAGGCTTAAGACACGAGTGTTCTGAGCACTACTTTTTCTGGTTGCCCTCAATGGTCTTCTTTCCTCTCTTTCTTCTGGCGTCTTCTCCGCTCTCTGTCGACGATCTTACCCTTTGCTGTCAGGGTGATGATTCGCCTCTCCTTCAACGCCGGCTTCAACTTGCGATTGATGCCGTGTCGTCTTGGGCCACCGATCATGGCTTCAGGTTCTCTACATCTAAGACTTGTGCTATGACTTTTACTCGGAAGCGCGTCGTTCTTCGTCCTTCTTTGTCGCTTTATGGTCACCTCATTGTGTACAAGGATTCCGCTAAGCTTTTGGAGTTGATTTTTGACACTCGTTTGTCTTGGTCGCCCCATATCTCTTACCTCTGTGTTGAATGCTCTAAGACCCTTACCCTCCTTTTGGGTATTGTCCCATACTTCTTGGAGAGCGGATAGGCGTGCACTCCTTGCTTTACATTCCTCTCTCGTCCTGTCTTAAGCTCGATCATGGTTGCCCTGCTTACTCGTCTGCTTCTCCTCCTACTCTTCGCCGTTTTGATGCTTTGCACCATACTGGGTTTCGCCTCAGTTCTGGTGCCTTTCGCTCGACTCCCGTCCTCAGCTTGTATGTTGACACTGGCTTCCTCTCTCTCCAGGACCGCCATGATCGCTACTGTCTTTGCTATCTTGCCCGGTCCTTGCAACATCCTTCCCTTCGCCTCTGTCGTGCTTTAACTTTTGCCCCTCCTGCAGTTCCTGTTCCCCTTCACCTCTCTTTCTGTCCGGTTATCTCGCTTACAGGATTCTCTTTCAGTTCGTATTTCTAATGTTTCTCCTCGTGTTGTTCCTTCTTTGCCCCTGTGGAGAGTCCCCCTTCCGCAGTTTTGTACATCCTTAACCCGCATCACTGAAGCTTTTTCTTCTCCTACGGTTCTAAAACTGCTTTTCCTTGAGCACTTTATTTCTCACTCCCGCTCCGTTTCCATCTTCACCGATGGGTCTAAGTATGCGGATGGTGTAGGCTACTTATTATAGAATGTGGGTTGGTTGGTGTTGTCGTCGTTGTTCCTCCTTTGCAGACAACCCAACCCACAACTCGGTAGAGTGCTTATACCTCCCTAGGAGATCACCCTTGGCGCTTCTGGCTCTTGGAGAGGGGCTCAACGTCACACGTTTAGGGGATGCGGCTCCAACACTTAGCCTCGTTGTCACGTGCACACACCCACTCGAGCCGCTGTGACTCCCCACTCTCTCCTTAGGTGATATGATCTCCTCAATCCCCTTTTGACTTAGTAGTAGTACCTTCTACCCTGTCCAGAGCAGTGGTTCTTGGTTCTTTCTCTCTCTCTCTCCTTCTTTACTACCTCCTGGGAAGCCTCACTAGGACAAGGGCAAACACCAGCAAATTAGGATACATTTACTGGACAAAGCACATACACAATACATACACACATATAATAATAATGAATCCTATACTCTATAATATTACAATCAGGTTGCACTCCAACACCATCAGAACTCTATCATCAGCTTATCAAGTGGTATCCTATCTCCTGGTTCACCACCTGATACTATCAACCTCCTTAAGTTGATCAAGTCTACATACACTGTTGCACCATCAGCAAGAGAATACATATATGTATCTATAAATGTGTACCAAGAAAATCAGCATTTGAATGCAATAACATATCAGTATAAATGTTCATTGATACACAACAATGATCAATCGATCACTCTATCAGTCCTAGAACGCATACGTCTGTAGGTAATCCAGCCTATGACTGTAACTCTAAACTTCAGTGTAAAACACTCCTTGACATCAGAATACCAACAATCACTCACCTCTCACTGCGTCTTGCACACCACTGACAACCAAACACTATCAACTCCCTACAAGTAATCCACCAGTACTTCCCTTCCACCTCTGGAAGTTCACTACCCTAATATCTTTAGGTTCTTCCGGGCTTCACTACCAGGATCCTCTGCAGCTCCTCCAGGCTGCTATCATGAAGTTTCCTTGAGCAACTACGGTGCTTCACCCTTCTGCTAGGTTCCTCCACAGCTCTCTTGGCTGCTACACCATGACGTTCTCTCGAGCAACTATGGTGCTTCACCACCTCTACAGAAGCATGTGACACTCCTCTTCACTGCTTCTCCTCCCAGCTCGAGGTCCTCTGCTTCACTACCTTGGAGTCTCATCAATTACTCCCTCTGTGCTGGCTTCGAAGTTCTCAGCAACTTCTTCCCCAAAGACAAACCTGCAACCCATCGACACTCCAATAAAATTGTTTCCCCTTTAACACATCAACAAAAATAATCACACAATACGTTTGTCTCCAACCTCTATCTGTCCTCTATATACAGTGAGAGTGGACTCCCCCGTTTTGGGCGGGTCCATACTCCACCTCGCCTGGCGGCGGTCCTCACTCACGCTGGGAGGGTCTTCCTCCGTCAGGAGCCGGGCTCCCTCAGTCGTCTGTCAGAGCTCAGAGGGGATGGACGTCGCTCCGTGCTCCTCCCTCTTCACTCTCCTATTTCAGGCTTTCTGCCTTATTAAAACATGTCTAACTTATAAATAAACATCGCTACTGTCGCTGGGCACACGACCAACTACAAGCAATCGCTATGAACTGGCGTATATCGTGCTTACCACAGATCGTCTGGTCGAGGGCGCTTTCCCTCTGACAGCGTCTGGTCAGGGCGCTCCACACAGCCCACGAAAATGCCTCTGAGCAGCTTATTAAACTCTCCTCGCCGTCCAAGACTTGACACCACAACGTTTTCAGCTCAATTCCACAGCTGGCACGTCTGCACACTTCTCTTCTCTTAGAGATATATCACTAGGGGTTCCCTTCTGACGGGAGCTCAACGGAGCGCGGCTTTTCCCCTGCGATGTCTGGCACTCAAGTGAGGTCAAGGTCCTCCTGAAGCGAGCCTCACGCCTCCAGCAAAATGTCCACATCTCCTAGCCAGTCATTTATCTGTTTTCTTCTTCATTGCCCATAATCTCAAATTGTTATACATATCCAACCAGCCATTTTACATATGGGTTATCACCTCAATATTTGTTAGACCTTCTAATCACGTCAGGCTTGATGAATAACTCTCAAGGAGGGAGACTCGTTTCTCCTGTAGGCTGAGATCATAACAATACTGTTGTTTTTCCTGATTGCACTTGTATGTGTCGCTTACCTCCGGAGACTAGCATCCTCACAGCGGAACTATTTTCTATGCTCTTTGTCTCCTGCTTTCTCGTTGTCAGTCTTCCTTTGTAGTTGTTGTTGACAATCGTAATGCCATCATGGTTCTCGGGTCCTTTAATCCGGTTCATCCTGTTGTTGTTGAGATCCAGCATTGGCTATTTCTTATTCCAGTAAATTTAATTCGGTTGAGTTTTGCTGGGTTCCCAGCCATATTGGTGTGTCTAAATGAGAGTGCAGATGCTGCCGCCAGGGAAGCTGTCCGCTCGTGTCCCATCTCTCAAAAAGGTATTCCTTATTCTGACTTTTACCCGGTTATCCATTCCTCCATCCTTACCAGCTGGCAAGCTTGTTGGACTTCAGTTACTGGTAACAAACTGCATACTCTTAAGAATTGTCCTCGTGGCCGCCATCCTACCACCGTAACCGGCGATGGGAAACGGCTCTGGCGAAGTTGCGTATTGGGCATACTTGCTTAACTCGTGGTCACTTGGAGTGCCGCCCTGCTTCTTATTGTCCAAATTGCATTGTCCCTCTTACGGTTGTGCATATCCTTGTTGAATATCCTGACTTCCGGAAGGAGCGTGTGTATCGTTTTCCGACCATCCCCCGCGGTCGCTTGTCCCTCGATAGAATTCTTGGTGACTCGGATACTTTTGATATCGTTCACCTTATGCTATTTAGCGCCCTCTGACTATCCCGCACATTTGATGGTGCTACATAGCCTTCCCAGTTTGGTGCCTTCTTTTGATAATTACTTACTTTACGTGCACTCTGTTACCTTGGTAAGAAATGGAAGAGTTTGATAAAACACAGGCCCAGGTGGTTACAACAGATAAGGAAATTATGTAGAGGTACAAATAAAGCATGAATCAAATTTCAAGGGGTTTCTATAATATTTCAAATGTGAAATGTTATACTTGATATTTGAAATACCGATATTTGATCATAAAGTTACAAGGAAATGCATCAGAACAGGATATCTGGCAGGACGAGCAGATAAACGTCAACATGTTGATTTAGTATGGATGTTCTACCGTTATGATGGCATAACATTTAGGCTTGATATGAGCTCATGTTTCATAACTTTAGTGTTTCCCATAATATGTTGAAATTTTGATGGATGTTCTAATACTTAAGATATTTGTGCATTTTTCTAGGATGAGAATCGGTATCATGAAGACATTTTCGGCATCACTCTTCGGACTGAGGAAATCCACCGACAGAAGAGGGAGAGTGCGCGCGTTAAGATGTCGTCCTTTGCTCAAGCTGGAGGGCCACTGACGCCCACCCTCTCCCAGGCTGCAGCGACTCCGCCGTTCATGTCCCAGAGTGGGCCCGCCCTGCCCTCCGCTGCGCAAGGGGTACCTGCCTCGGCCCCCAACGAATAGGGACACACTCGAGGGCAGATTGGCTTTTCCAACACCTGTTTTGTCACCTCCTTAAAGCGGTTTTCAAGGTTTTTTGTTAACTCACTACCCAGTAGTATTAAACCTACATAAATGCCTAATTTACAGATGGAAGTTTTAGTAACCATAATAGCAAAGCTTCCGTAAAGTTGAATGTTCAATCGTTGTTTGAACTAAAAGATCAAATTCCTGTATATGTAGTAGATTCATCGAAGTAGAATTTTGATTCTTAGCGCTGTAAGTGAAAAGCTGATGATGGCAACAAAAACTCCATACCCAGTTGTTAATATTACTCTAGAAGGCAAGGTCGCTCTGTGATAGACGACTACATTGGAGGGAAGGTCGGTTTTGTCAGGAAGGTTAGTAAGAATTTGAGTTAAGGTCGAAATGGTTTTGTTAAAAAATAAATCCTACCTTACAAGCCTTTTCACTTTCTGGGAAACGGTAACCAGTTCTTCAGACAGAGGACTTCCAGTAGATGTAGCATACAAGGACTTTCCTAAAGCGTTTGATATAAAATACTGGCAAGAAAATTACAAGCACATGGAATAAATCGTAGAATCCTAGAAAGGACTAAACAATGGTTAATATAAAGAAAATAAAGGGGCGTCTTAAACGGAAATGAATCAAACTGGAGAAATGAGTGGAGTACCACATGGATTCATTTTGGGGCCAACCCCTTTTTTGTCAAATAAATCGGTGACATTACAAACCACGTCATAAAATTTGAAAATGATTTATGGCAAAGTAGGAAGTGAAAATGATACCGAGGGCTTACAAACAGAAAATGGTCGGATGACTGGCAAATGCTTTATAATATCGAAAAATGCGGGACCTTGCATGTGGGGCATAACAATGCAGAACATTACCACCAAATCAATAACATTAGCTTGTAGCAAATTGATGAAAAGGTCCTTAGTCAGAATCCAATAATTGCTGAAAGCTTCACAAAAAGTGGGAGCTGCAGTAAAAAAAAAACTAGGAATAATAATAGCTAAATTTTTACTTCAAGGAAAAGAAGATAGTTGTACAACTACATAAATCTCTGGTGAGCCTACACCTGGATTATAGTTTCCAAGCATGGAGACCTCATCTTCAGAAAGACATGAATGGTTTGAGGAAATTCAACATCCAGGTGACTAAAATCATTCCTGAACTAAGTCGACTTTCATACCAGGAACGGATCAGGGTCGCAGGGGTAACAATACTGCCCACGAGATATGACTGGGCTGACCTCATTGAAACTTAAAATGATGAACAATTTGGAGAATTTTAATCCAGACCAGTTTTTCAAAGCGTTAAATGTAACACAAACAAGGAGCAACAGTTTTAAGTTAACACGCCACAAGCAGGACGGAAAACAGGAGATGGATTTTCACCCATAATTGATGATTTTTCATCCAAACCCATGAAACCACATACCTGCCGAAGCCGTAAATGTCAAAACGCTGCTGAATTTCCAAATCCAGGTCGACAAAATAAAGATAAATGGGAGGACCTTCGACAAGCCGCCGGCTTTCCGTCCTCGTCGAGGCCACTAGGGAGTGCCCCTCAGATAAACACTAATACAGTATATGAAAATTCAACTTTTGATTTTTTTTTAATTCAATTACAATTCTTGTAGTCTTATCACCCAGTGGCTGCTGGGTGGATGGAAGACACGTGTGTTCAGGGTCCAACTTAACACTGACGGGTAAAACAGTAACTAAATTGGACACGTGTTCATAAAAGGAACAATTACTTAAGCTCTTGGCGTTGTCTGAGAGCACTTAATTTTGTTGCATTAGTTTCTAAGAGGCCTTGCAAGGTAAGCCTTGCGGTGGTTCCAGGGGTTGATGGTCCTCGCAGCCCAGTCCCTGACCAGGCTTCCTAACAATTATGCCAGACCTAGATTATGGTATTGTGAAATTATATAACTTTAAAGTATTTAGAAGACTGGAGCAAAGACAATTATGCAATAGTGAAGAGGCGAGTAAAAAAAAGTAGCAAATTGTGACAATGAATATATGTCACTCGTGTATGTTCACTCGTGTATATTCAGTCACGGTATCGCACATTACATGTATGTGGTTGAAGGGACTCATTAACTAGAATAGGCAACGCTTCACGTCTGCAGTAGATTCCGTGAATATTGACTAAAGAGAAGTGTCCGTTTTAGCAAGATGAAAGAGAAGGAAGTAGTGAAAAATCGTCAAAATCATGAAATACTGGCTGAACAAACTGGAGGAGTGTGGAGTCTTTGTTGCTCACG